ATAGGATTAAATTAAAACAGATATAAATAAATAAAACACGGAAAGTTTTACGAAAAAAATTCTAATGCCTCTAATATCGATTAAATGCACCTGGTTCAGATACTCATCCTAAAGCTAATAACCTTGGAATGAACAAAAATCAATGTTGTTGCCATTCTAAATAAAATGAGTAATTTGCATGAATATTTTTAATTCTTATTAGTGAAATTTTAACTCTAAATAATTTTGTTATCTGTGAGATTGAAGCGGATTGATTAAAAATTGAGAATTATTTACATACCAATTTTCAGTTAAATTAGTTATACATCCGTTTTGTTATTAAATCCTGAAGTAACAGATCAATGTTAGTAAAAAAAAAATAGTTGAATTATTTTTACTAGATTGGTCTGGTACTTCGGGATCTAATAATTAAACGAATTTGGTACCAATTTAATTGAAAATTGGTATGTTCAGGAAACACATTTTTTATTGGATCAATCCGCTTCAATCTTCACATATAGCAAAGCTATTTGGAGCTAAATTTCACTAATTAAAATATTCATGTAGATCACTCAATTTTTTAGAATGGCAACATTAATATTTTTTTTACATTCTCTTGGTTATTAGCTTTAAAACAAGTGTAGTAACCAGGTATATTTAATCGTTGGTAGAGAAACTAGAATTTTTTTCGTGAATTTTTCGTGTTGAATTTCTTCTGTGAGCCACTATGTTATCTATATTAGTCGGGATTGCTATTAATTTTGGAGTAAAGATTCGAGTGGTGTAAATTGCATTTAAGTGAACTTATAATTTTTGTCCGTATTTATAGGAATAGTTTTTTGCGATTTCATATCCTTTCAAGTTCCTCTAACTTTTGCCTTTCTAATTAATATGCTCTTTAATTTCTTCATGTGTTTTAGGATATTATAATACTGAACATGCAAAGTATTCGGTTTGTGAATGTATCCATTGTTGATGAATTCAATAAAGTCTCTCAAATCCCTAGAGTTTAGTCTGTTTGTTGGAATAGGATCCCAACGTTTTTCAAAAATAAATTTACAACATTCTGGAATATTAATTGGTATTGTAGATCGTACTCTTTTATAAATATATTTCCAGGATGAAATCACGATGTACAAAATTTTCTTCGTGAATTTTTTTCAGATCAAAGATTAATACCGGCGAAAAAAGTCAGTCACATGATTTTTTAAGCGATGATCAAATTGTAAAGATCAATGTGTAACAAAAAATTCAACGTTCATTTATTTGAAAAATAGCTTGTATCTCGATTTAATAATTTTATTCTATAACTTATAAACTTACCTTTTTAATAATAAATTTGATAAGTTATCTAATAAAATATTAAATTTATTCTCTTATAAACTTAATAAAAACCAATACTAAAAACTAAAAAATAATCAAATAGATATTTAATTCTTCAAATTTCTTATCATATTCTAAATATAAAAAAAATACTGTTTTAAATTATTACTTGGCTAATTGAAGATATATAGACTTTTAGTATAATTAAAAATAAGTAATTTCAAGAATTAATTCATTAAATATGAATCTCATTTTGAATTTCTATATATAATATATATAATAAAAACAAAAAAAAGAGTAATATAATAATTTGAATATAATTATATTAAATATACTATATATACTTAGTAAAAAAGATAAGAGTTAAATAATTTTCCTGTAAATCATGATAAATATCATGATTAATTTTAAAGATATGGCAAGATATTAATACATTAAATAATTTAATCCTATTAATAAATAAATAGAAATACTTAAGTAAGTTAGTAATTTTACTTAAGTCTTTTATTATTATAATTATCTTAATAAGCAAAAGTTAATATCCAATATTTTTATAAATGATTCTTATATTTTGCAAATTTTTTCAATATAAGTAAAAGTTAATATCCAATATTTTTATAAATAATTCTTATATTTTGCAAATTTTTTCAATATTTGAATATAATAATTCAAAATATGTTAGAAATTCTCTTTATTTTAGAAAAAATTCATGAATTATTAAGAAAAAGATAGAAAACTTTGAAAATTCTTGGTCTTATTATCTTATTTCTCAATTCAAGATTTAAAAATATATGATTTATACTACTATTTCAGTTCTAAAGAAAAAGTTATAGAAATATTATAAATACTTTAGAGTTTTTTAATACTTAAATTAATATTCTTATCTACAAGATTAATCTTTTATTTTATTATTTTATGATGATTATAATATGATGACTATAACAGATATCTTTTGATTCTGAGCTCAAAGTATGTCTGAGTTATCAAAATATAAAATAACTTATTCATTATATGAAACAAATAATTCTTATAAATAGTGAAATAATTATAAGATAATATTTTTTTTATTAGCTAAACAAGAAAGAATTTATCTTGCAATTCCAGCATCTTTAATTCTTGTTGAGCATCTTTTTAGGAATGCTGGTAATATATTAACTGACAAAGAAATTGACTTAATTCTACAATTATTTATGATCTTCTTTTTCTTCAAGAAAATTCAGTTTATATAAGAAATAAATAAATTGATATTATACTAAATAAGGAAATTCACGTGATTATTGACTGCGTCGACTAGCTGGAAAAAAAGGCCAGCTCAGTCGCGCTGGTAAATTTGCACCGGCTTAGATCACTAGGTAGGGGGTGTACATGTATTATCGAGTGTCAGTCATGTGATTTTTCCTTACCCCGATGCAAAATTTAAAAATAAAAATTTAGATCATTTTTCAATTTATTTGATTTTCGTCAATTTATACACCAAATAAAAAATAAAATTTATTTAATATTTAATTGGCCCTCCATTTGACTCCAATACTGCATTAATTCTTCGTGGCATTGATGCAGTAACCCGTTCTAAAATGGCCACATCTAGTTTTTCCCACTCCATCTTCAGTGCAATCTTAAGTTCGTCCACAGTCGTCAGAAAGTTCTCATTTTTTTGAATATTGTCCTTTAATATCTTTCTAATGTTTTCTATTGGATTCAGGTCTGGGCAATTCATTGGCCAATTAATAATCACGATTTTATTTTCCCTTAATTTTTCCCGCAGTATGTATTGGCGCATTGTCATGTTGAAAGATTGCGTAACTTCCAGTTAATTCCCTAATTGCGTTCTAGAATGGAAGTAATTGAGTTTTTAAGATTTCAAAGTAAGTATTTGCAGTTATTATTTCGTCATTTTTTTATATTTATCACAAAAAATTAATGGTTCTTCCGCGAAATATCCCCAAACCATTACGAATTTTTGTCCACTTTTAAAGGTAAATGCCAAATAATTAACGTTAAACTTTTCTCCAGGATGCCGCCAAACACTTGACTGCCGTGACTTCTTTCCAATTTCCACACAGAGAAAATTATTTTCGGCCGATCATAAGCTGATTTATTTTTATTTTCTTCACACCATTTAATATGAGCGTATGTATGTGTTTCCGAGATACAAAGTTTCTTTGCTGCGATACGTGAGTTAAGTCCGGAGTTGTGCAATACATTTGCGACGGTTAATAAACTACAAGTGAGGCCTAAATTATTGACTATTTCGCGTAGTGATGCATGTCGTTTTTCGCTAGCTTCATGTATAAGTAATCTTTTTCGTGATTATTTAAGGCTGGTGATCTTCCTGAACGTGGTAAGTTTTCACTTTTCTGGTTCGTTTATATTTGTTTAGAAAGCGGCGTACTGTTGTAGGGTCGCGTCCGAGTCTTTTTGCGATTTACGGCATTTGTGGTGTCCATGTACGCCAAATCTTCCCCTTTCAATTTCGTTAAGCTGCGCATAGGTGGATACCATTTTTTAACCTAACGAAATTATAGTGTTGACGAAGTGACAAGGATAAATAAATTTACATGTATAATCTAAAGAATTCTAACTACTTTTACATGTACCTCTCCTTGATAGATGGACATGTGCAACATGCATGTATCATTTTTGGAGTCATCTTTCATTTAGTTTTTTTCATGCTAAAAAGTAAAACATCGATGTCATGACATTAAAATTATGAATTTTTAAGTAGAAAATTATCAGTTAAATACGTAAGATTGCATTATGATTCTGTATACTCTCAAAGAAGAAATTCAGAAAGGTTTGAATAAAATTAATAAGTTTTGATAAAACATGATGAATAAATAACAGTTCATTTGATCTTAAATTCAATGATCATGTTTCTAATAATTTAGAACTTAACTGATTAACTTTACTAAAATATAAGGTAAAATATAATAAATATAATTAGTTTGATAAAGCATAAAGTAAAATAGTTAATTGTCACTTTCTTTAAAAATGTGAACAATATTCTTCATCTTGTATGTTAAAATTTTCCCATGAATTTATTGTTTTTTGAAGGAATTAGATATACTTTCTTCCTAATTGATTTCATATATTATACTAAAGCCGAAAGTTGGTTGCAAAAAATGTGAAATATAGTAAAGAAAAAATCATATTATGCAAATAGAAATTTCACCTACTTTTGAAGCATACAAACTAATATTTTAGTATCGATATATTCAAATTTCACTTTATTGAGTATATTTGGAATTGAAATTCATATTGTGTGAGATACCTTCTGTGAAGGATTTATGATTTATTTCCTTATAAAGCTCTTCTAATTCCTTTATTCTAAATAGTAACAGTTAAACATCTTAGGTCGCACTTCATATGCAAGATATATAAAAAATATGACACAAGCATTCAGGGGGAATTGTCCGTACACGTGATTGTCCAATCACGTGTTGCACATATAACTGGACCGGTCGCTTCGGTAAATGATATAGGAAAAAACGTGATTCTAGTGATCGAAAATCAAACGATCCATTTAAAATGGAAGCATACGGTAATTATTATCTGAGATTATTTTTAAATAAAAATTAATGTATATTTATTAGCAACTAGCGAAAAACATAATCGATATATTTATTAGCAACTGGCGCAAATCATAATTGATATAACACATTAGGTTTCTTCATGATCAATATGGTTTGCTGCAGATATTATCTTGATGGCAGCAAATTTAAACGACTATTGAAAAATAATGTCCATGGTTTTGATCCACGCCATGTTGGATCACATAGCCATCTACGTTGCACTATCTCAATGTCATCTAATATTGTGAACAAATGGTTTGTATTATCAACAACTCGCATAATATGATGCAAGTTATTAGCTGCAAGCTCGATTTCAAGACGTTCTGTCATACATCTTACAGCCACCTTGAGCTCACAAATATGATGTATTTCTTGACCATTTTCATCCTTCTCAACTAATCCGTTACCCAACATGTCAAATTGAAGAAGATTATGATATACATATCTCTTTGGATATATTTTGTGACATTTTGTCATTTCATATAAGAAAGGGATAGTTCTCTCACCACTGAAAATTACTATATAATAGATGAACATCCTGCAGATTAGTTGACTTCACCATTTTAACTGCATGCTGAACTAAGTGTTTGCAAATGAGAAAATAACTATGAAGAAATGACAGACAACTATATATACAATGTGCCAGATCAATAAAATAATGTTTCTTATATCCATTAGCAATTGATTTTACAATGAGTTGCTTTCAATCACTCTTGAACTTCTCAAATCAAGAAGAAGAAGAAGCTATTTATTCTAAGCATATTTAATTAAAATAAGTAATCTGATTTGGAAGAATATATGTATAAATAATTTATATAATATAATTCAATCATAATCAATTGAATCTGTAAAGATAATAATATCTAACAACTTTCTAGTATAATTTAATAAATATATTATTTTGTCAAGCAGAATTATTAAATATTTTAATTAGATTTAGAGTATTTATTTTATTATTATATATCTCATTAACTATTAGAAATTATTTTGTAATATTTATAAAAATTCTTATATTATTATCATAGTAATATAAATTTCTTTAATTTTATAATTTTTCAAACTTGAGATTTTTGACCAATTAATTGATCTTTAGAAGACATGTGATTTTGAATGATATAATTGATGTATCAGTTATGAATTCAGTCATAATTCAATAATATTTTTGCAATATTTCTGTAATATTTTAGCAATACTTCAAGATTATGAATGAATAATTAATTCTGAAATCAATAACAGTTTACAAATAATTTAACAATAATTTAGAAATACTTCAGAAGCAGTTCAATAACAAATTTAATTTATTTTTATTATTATCTTTTTCTTTTTAGAATATTTATCTTATCTTTTCATTTTGTTTCATCATTTGTATTATCTTATAACTTATCATATATATCTTATCTCTTTATTTTACTTGTTTATTTATTGATCTTTTGTCCCAAAGTTTGTAATTATAATCTAAAGTAGCAAATGAATTTAGATAAAAACTTATAAAATCTTAAAGATGTATAAATATCTTTACTTTGAGATCTGAAATAAATATACTTGAATAGCAATAATTTAATTATCTTTGAAAATACTTGAGTTATACTTATTTTATAATTTTTCTTTGATTTTTATCTTAATATCTTGCTTTTATTTATTTTTTTTATTATAATAGATTATATTTTGATTATTTACAAGTTTTTCTTATCTGAAAAACTTAGATAGTAGATGCTCTTCACTTAAAATAAGTCAAGTATATTTTATTTGATTTAGAAAATTCTTGTAAGCTTTTCTATTTATAAAAGCTTTATTTTGTTTTGGTATATACTCTTTGATTATCTAATAGTTGAAAAGATACTGTTAGAGAGTTTAGTTAGTATACTAAATCTTTAGTTTTTGTTTTAGCATTTGTTATTTTTTGGTATCTACTCTTAATTTAGTTTTTATAATTATAACTTTATTTTTATTTTATTTTATTTTTGTCTTGTATTGATATAATACTCATAAGTATCGACACTTGAAAATCTTTAGAATAATTATTATCCTCTTGATCTTTATAAATAATTCAGTTTTCATTCTCAAAACTTATTATAAACTATATTCTTGATAAAATCTATCTTCCAGAGTATAGTTTATAATAATATTTATATTAAAGTGCTTTCTAATTAGATTAATAATCTTATTTTATTAATCTAATAGATATACTATATAGTATTTAGGCTTAGAATATTTTAAATCAGGCTTAAATATATAGTTAAACTCTATTATAGTATTATTTAACTAATATTAGTTGTGATAGATTTGCTTATGATTCTTGAATTTTTTTCTAATAACTTTTTGATATGTTATAGACAGAACTATATATTAGTATTGGATTATACTTTTTTTATAGTATTAATTTCTATAAAACTATTATTAATATAAAAGTATTATAATTATAGCTTTTTATTATAAAGAGAATGAAGAAAGCTAGCAAGTATCTTTATTTATAACTCTGTTTATTCTTCAATATCTTGTACTTTCATAATATTCAAAGTGAGATATACTATTAAAAATCCTGTATTCTCAATATTATCAATAATTTTATAAAGTTTAAAGCATCTTCTGACTATTTTATAAGCCAGAGAAATCATGAATCTGATTGTTATAATCAAGTTAGTATTCTAATTCTTACTGGCTTTAGTATGAGATTCATTAAAAAAGCAATATGCAGAAATTATATAATCTTTATCTAATTTATAAAAGTGCTAACAATATATTGATCACTAATAAAAAATTTGTTTCTCAGTGTTAAAGTAAAATATTAAATATTTGATGAAGATATATCTATAATTATATAGGATATATGTGAAGGTTCTGCATAATTTCGTGCTTTATTTCTGAATATCAACAGGTTTCTCATATTGAATATTATGATAAAATCTCACTATCATTTCTTCTGCTGGCATGTCAACATGAATTGTTAATTTATCATAACAGTCAAAATGATCCATCCTCTTTTGGTTTGACTCCTTAAATTCATGCTCAAGTTCACAGTACTGCAAATATGCCAGGTAAAACAAGCTAACTTCATGGTGACATAATGATATTTCAGGACCAGTTGTGAATACTCAATAATATCTGACAACCCCTCGATCTCATCCACTATTAGCTTTATCATATTCTTCACATCATGTTGTGCGGTATCAAGTCTGACATGAAGGTTGAAAGATAACACATCATTCTCATTAAGATTAGTGGTTTTACTAGTAATATAATCGACAATTTTAACAAAAGCAACTTTCTCGTAGGCTACTTCCTCGTCTCTTTCAGGCTGATTGTCATCAGTTGTCAATTGTTTTTTCGCAACTCTTTTTTAGACCTTGCATCCAAGCAATTCGCACAAGTCTTGTAAGCTTTGTTTTTGCAAATAAAAACTTTTGCGAGTAAATAATTATTGTAAGTGGTGCAAAAATTCATATTGCGAAAAATAGAAAGAAATTTTGTTAGTGAACTGCGAAAATCCGCTATAATTCAAATGAAAAAAATAAAATAAAAAATTACTTAACTTAATTAAGGTTTATTATATGCATTACGCGAAAGGGCGAAATGAGGACATTATTTAAACTGCGTTTATTTTGTTACATAAAAAGGTAAAAAGGCAAAACGGAGTTAATAAAAAAATGATATATTTCACGATTTGATAAAAAAACAATATATTTTTAAATTGATAAAAAATGATATATTTTTAATTTAATAAAAACGAAGGATTTCACGATATGCGTTAAAGTTTACGTGTTGATTGATCGTTGACAGTGCATGGAGAAAATGCATCGGATTGTCGAACAAGGAACGGAGGTCGGGCAGAGATCAAACACGTGATTGGATAATAACGTGTACGGACAATTCCCCCTGCTGTAGATTTCAATAGTCGTCCCACTTAATTAATATCCCAATACTGTATAATTTATAATTTATCGATTGTTTTACATGTGTACCTATTATTTAGTCTTGTTTCATATTTTATTAATTATTGCGTAATTCCTTAATCTTTCCCTTAAGTTTTCGATAAGAATATCGTTACCAACTTTGGAACAATTAACGTTACTCGATCATTATTTACTAATAATTAATTCGCATTATTAATGTTGAAACGACTGCAAACAATTGAATAAGTTCGCAACCAAACAATTGAGCGTCTGATCTCAATAACTTTTACTGCAGCCACATTGGAGACTCTTTAATAATTACTCGGTACAAAGAATGTCCAACACCAATTCGTGAATATATCCCTGCCCTTGTAAATTTTGTTTGTTATGACTATTAGTTTCAGATTAATTTCTTCCGAAACATACATTTCTAGTCTTGTCTAGCTATCTATATCGATGTTTCTTGCGGTTCGTATTTTCGAATATTCTTTTACTAAGTTCGTATGGTGTTCAATATTATTGTCCAGAGAATAAAATGTAGAATAGAATAGCGCAAATATAGAGTTAGTAATAGTCAATTTGTATATAAGGGATCTAATCAAATAAATAAAAATTAATCCTTTTACCTGTAAACTCCTTTGCTTGTAAAATAATCAATTTTTCTTTCTTTTTGATTGACTTCAAACCTTACGTACAAGTAATGAATGACCTTCACTCAAATTAAGCCATAACTCATTTTTGATATTTTTGGCAGAAACTAAGTCCAATTTCGCTTTTGACCATTTGTAGTTTTTAGTTAACTAAAACATCTGGACGTTACTCCCGAAATAACCTTTGTGACGCGCGTAATTATGTTGTAGGTGATCAGAAACCTTCTCGAAACATTTGTAATCTAGAGTAGACTCTTTTCGTTGCTGATGATCAGAAATCTCCATTTCGCCCATATTAAAATAAAGAAACTAACTTTTCTAAAGGTTGATTTGCGTATAAATCACCATAAAAAACCTTTAGAATAATAAAGAAGCCTTATTATTGTAAAACATTCAGTATTGCTCTTAAAGCTTACCTTGCTGCATTGGCCCTCTAAATTCATTAACTCCCCTGAAGTGCGCACCATTACATGCATCCAGCGCCCTTTAGATAAAACACAGCAGGTGAACATATTTACACCTGAAATGTTCAATACGTCATAACTCTTATAAGATGAGTTTAGTGATTCGTTTTACATTTTTAAAAAGCCGAGATTTTTTAGCTTTCGAAACAAGTACATATATCAGGAAATTACATGTATTGCCAATAAAAATAAATTTAAAATTTAAAAGAATTAGACAAAAGCATCAACTTTAACAAAACGATACAGAAACCCTTTTAAATGCACCCCAGGGACCAGTTCTTAGGTGTGTATCTCATAAAGGGCGTGAATAATATGATTAAAACTCGGGACCAGGCCAGAGAAGGATGTATTCTTTAGAATATTTCTCTGTACCATATCAAAATGGTAATTACCAGATTTGTATAAAATAATTTAACAGATACAGCCATATAAAAATTATTAAAAGTACATGCGACTATAACAATCTCTATAAATTGACCGTCTGTTTTATATTGTTATTTCTTATTAAATTTATACATAAAGTATTGCTGATTAGTTAGCATTAAATATTACTTTGAGTTTCAAGGTATATGCAGTTATTTAAAATTTATATGCTAAATCTGTGTAGTTTATTGGTAAATAAAATGAAAACAACTGAAAAAATTTATTAATTGCAATACATGCGTATGCAGAATTTTGTTTATCTTCTGAACAAATTATTATTATGGATCAAATTCACTTATAAATTAGCAACTGATTGACCCGCAATAACTTGAGAAACAGATCAAATAGAAAGCGAATGACAACAACAAATGCAAAAACACAATTTATGTATTATAATATTTTTTGCGATGGAATTTCTTCGAAGTTATGCTTTTTTATTGAAAAATTATTGATAACGTTAATTTTAACATTAAATTAAATTAAAGATCCTTATTGTTATATATGTACAGTATTGTACAAGTAGTGCAATTGTGGTGGAATTAAGAAATTTTCACAGTGGCAAAGAATGGTGGGAGAGTGATTAGACTAATTATGTGGTATAATTCTTAATCTGTGCCGATATCCCTTCAATGTGTATAATCCAAAGAGAAGAATAACTTGTAATACCATTTCAATTATAATATTTGAACTTCATTTCCTATATTTTATACTATTTCATCAGAAAAAACTTAATGTAAACACCAACACGAACATTCAGAAACAGAAATCTTTTTCAGACCCAAAGAAAGCGAATAAGATGATTTGAACATGAGAGTTGGAGAATATAGGAATTAATTGGAATGGGCATTATTAAGTTTTAGAAAAAATTTCGTGATTGTTTTGTATAATGAGAGAGAAATTTCGGTTTATAAAAACTATTTATTTCTACACTAATTCTAATAATGCTTTTCTAGGCAAAAACTTTAAGCTTAACAAATGATGCGTTGTCTTTTCTGGAATAAAAATCAATATGGTTATAATTATAATTATTATGATATCTTTATGAAGGATTTTTATTTGGAAAAAAACTGTACACAATTTTTATAGAAGAAAAACTGTATGCAATTTATTTTATTTATGACCAAAAGCCTTTAATTTTAATAGAGATCTAACTAGAATTGCTAATGACTTGACTTGACTTAAAATTGATAACTTATAACATCAAATAAAGTCAATTTAAGTAACTTTCAAATTTAAATTCAGTAAACTCAGTCAAAAAAACAAGGAATTTAATGTAACAGGCCATATTTTGTATATTAATACATAAACAATATAGTAAATAATATTTATATCACAATGTTTAATGAATTCAATAATTTTTATATTTAATATCATTTTTTGAGCATAATATAGAGTGACACTTAAAAATATTATATCATACAGATGATAAATTTTATAATATAATAATATTTCATATATAATATTAATTAATATATAAATAGGCTTATTTTAATATCTATATATAGACAAAGTATCAGATTATAATTTATTTTTTATATCATAAATTTGAAAATAATTAATCATATTTTATATCAAATCAAGTAATTCATTTCTTTTAATTATTTTGATAAATAAAAAATCAAAATTATATAATAATCTAAATAAACTTATAGAATTTTAACTCTAATATTAATTATATCTAGTATATTTATTCTTTATATTAATTATATCTTGAATATATTCTTCTATACTTTAAATTAACTTATTAAAAATAAATTATTAATTTTAATTAAAATTTTTTTATTATATTCTAGAGTTAATCTTAAGTATAAATATCAATTAATATTCTTCTCAAATAATAATCTATTTTATTTTAGAGATGCTCAATTAGGTTAAGATCAGGTAATTAGGCAGGCTAATTAAGTAAATAAATATTATTATTATCAAACTAAACATATATAAATTTTGCTATATATTTAGATTATTATCTTATTAAAAGATAATATTATTTTTATTAATATTATAGTACTAAATTGTTTTTAAAAGATTATTATTTAAGATTTTATTATATAAATTCTTATTTATAATTATATCTATATATAATATTATTAATATTCAAGAATCTGAAATAACTCTAAATCATTATATTTTTATCTCTAAATTTTATTATAGATTTCATGTAATACTCTTTTAGAAGTAATTATCATATTTTCAATAGTATTTATATTTATTTGAATTAAAAATCATAAATTTTAATTTATCAAACCAGATAACTTTACTCTAATTATTAATAGTCTAGTAATGATTTTTTTGCAAAATTTAAATATTAAATTTGATGTATTTTTTAAGATATGATTGCTTTTATTTAATTTGTGAAGAAAGATCATTATAATGTAAAATTTGCTTTATTGTACTTGTGTTAAGATCAATTTTATTTTCAGAATTTAGTTTTTTTTGAATGGATATTGCAATAAAAAAACTATTATTTGAAATTAAATGTATAATATTTTGTTTATCATAGCCAGTAAAAATCTAAGATGACCTGGTTTTGGTAAATCTTTAAAGATATTATGGGCATCTATTTTTTGCTTTATTCTTATAATGGAGAATTGGAAAATATTTTCATGATTTGTAGTATAATGAGAAGAATATCCTTCTTTAAAAAGGATATAAATTTGGGATCTTTTTCAACAGGAATATATGCCATAATAATTTTAAGTATACAAGATAAAAGAGTGAATTCATGAATATAGTTTATTTATAGGAGGTGTGTTTTGTTAAGTTGTGTGTTTTTTTATCTATTTATCTATTTATTTTGAGAGGAGAAATGATCCCAAGTTAAGCAAAGTGGTTTTACATTTATATATGTGCTATTTAGTTATACTTTTAACTATAATATGGACTAAATTTCATTTATCTGTGGCGTCTATATTACTAAAAATTCCCCGATTCGTTTTTTCATTCTAGTGATGCATTAATTTTGAGCGCCACTGTATAATACTCGCTTTTTTAGAAATTTAAACCTTTATTTAATCTCAAGGTTATTGTAAAGGTACATCTACATCTTGTTTATTTATTTTTGATTTTTATGCATTTGATTCAAATAATATTAGTTTTTGATTACGCATCAGAAAAATTGCTTTTGGTTCTTGCGTAAATTTCTGTTGCAAGTGTAATACAGCACGTTTAATTCTATAAAAACGTTAATGATTCTATATTTCTTTACAATAATATTTAAAAAAATAATATTAAGAAAAATACCTATATAGTTGAGCTCGCGTAACTAATAGTATTGTAATTCCATTAAGAATTGCTGATAAGTGCCTAGTTGACATAATTAATGTATTTCTAAACTTTTAAATTATAACGTTCTCAAATAAAAACAATATAAAAATATGAAATTCTGAAAGTATCCTACCAAATATTCTTCTTTCACCTCTTTAGCAGATAAATGCCAGTTGTAATAACGAAAATTACTATTTAACAGTAGAGACATTTAATTCAACATCTTTATAATTTCTGCAATACTTATTGTCATTCAATTATATATATACCTTATTAAACCGGTGAATCCGTTATCATTACGATCTTTTCCGATGTACAGCGGTCCATTATTAAATATAATTCTTTGCGTCTGAACTTGTTGGACACTTTGGAATCCGGTCCATTTTCCGTCTATGTAGAAATCTAACCGTTTTTTTGGTTCAGAAAGCGTGCAAGCTAAATGATACCATTTGTTTAGTGAAAGTCCATTGCCAACCGAATCGATTCCTGCATTTCCCTTGCCAGTCATTGAAAATCGAACATGTGGTGCTGAATTATTCGCCGTCAGTATGAGTGCTGGCGTACGAACTTCGAGTGCACCGCCTAAATGTGCATTAAAGCTTAATCAGTTTAGAAATATTCCAAATATGATTTTAGGTTACGAAACAAAATAATTGTACCTTTATTAAAAATACAAGCCCAAAAATAATTGTACCTTTATTAAAAATACAAGCCCAATTGGAACTATTATTCAAGATATTTAATCGTAATGTTACCGAAACCTCGTCTGTTACTGGTGGCAACTCTGCATGTTCTATTACTTTACTATCTTTTGTGGAGAAACTAATTGGAAGTGAAATAAATTCATGAAAGGTTCTTAATTTTTTCTCCTTGAGTTCATTAGCAAAGTCTGCAATTCTCGCCGCAGGTCCTCCTTTCATGCCAAAGCTTCTAAGCTTTTCTTCGGTCAACTTGAAGAAGTCACGGCCATTGATTCTTTCAGTACGAAACACAAGAAAGTCTTCTTCGATAAGATCTAAACCTTCTTCCTTTTGTACGAATTCGATTAGTTTATTTGTGGTCAGCTTTTTGACCTCTTCAGCTACGGACTTTTCTTTCGTTACTGAAGAAGATTCGGCTTTTGACATAATTGCTATTCAGTGTATGGGAAAAATTTTAAACATGAATTTGGGGTTTGTTTGAATTCGAAAAAAATGTGCAATTCGTAAGACAGTATTCAATTATAAGGATTTTAATATCAAAATAACGAAAAATGAAAATACAACTCACTTTGATATAAGTTATTGGACTCAAACTTTTTTACTTTTTTATAATTTATATATCTTAAAACGAGAAATGATTAATCAACTCTCTTATAGTCAAATAGGTTGAATTATATTATCTTTCTTATATCAAAAGTTTATTATATTGTGAGTTTCTTTGTATGAGTCCAAATTAGAATAGATACATGCACATATATTGTTACCGTAGTAACAATAAATTTCGTAATTCCTTAATTTCTCCCCTAACATGAAGATCGCGACTATATTCGGAATGGTCAACGTTCGACACCATATGTTACGGCAACAATTAACGTACATGTATAATGATTATTGTTAATTATTTGATGCTTCAAGAATATCGTATCTCTAGAATAATGTACTTTGCGATAATTAATGTCCCACACTTCAATAATAATATCTTCCGCAACAATTAATATTTAACACCATAATTATAGTTATCGTAACAATTTACTTCGTAACTATCATTATCGAAATAATTAATATTTGACATTCCGTAATAATGTCTAACATTTTGAGATCATAATTAACATTTATTGTCATGTCGAGATATTGCGTCCTAAAGTTATCGATTGATTTTTTTGATGTCTAAAAAAGTAAATCGGCCGCTTTAGGATGCAATATATCGACATCTAATGGCCCAATATAATAAAATCTACTATTCGATTCATCTTGACTAGATTAATCGAATAATAGCTTTTTGCAAATATTGAACCATTAGATGTCCCTTGACGATCAAATTTTAATGTTACCGTGACCCGATTCGAACGAAAATACTACCATTCGATTTGTTACAACTCGAAAAATCTATAGTAATTTTGCTCGAATTGGGTTACTGAATGCTGCGATATTGACTCTAAAATGACCATTCAATGTATTTTTGGTGTAGAAATTGGATGAAGATCCAATTTCCGATATGGAATGTTTACCGGCCTATAAAGGCGAAGATGATCAGTGTTCGCATTTTTTGTTCTCAGAAAAATTTTGACACATTACGCATGATTTACGGAAAGTTAGTAGGGGTCGGATACTTTTGCGGTTTACTGTAGATGAAAACTCCTAAACGCCAATGACATAAAATTGGACTCATATGTATAAAAAGGCGAGCTCATAAGTTTAAAAATATAGAATGGCTTATAAACTAATAGTTAATTAATATTTTAATATTTTATAAATCTATTATATTATTAAAATTCAAAAGATTTGCAATAATAAAGATATATTAAATATTATGGTCCAGTGCAAAAAGATTTATACCTCAATATAAAAATTAATAATTGCTTCTAATAAAAATCATTCAAAATTTAACCAATCTTTATAATTTTTTTATATTAAATAAAAAATGATCTAAATTAACTTTTTATACTATTTTAATTATTCTATTATACTTTACTAAAAAAACTAAAATAAAATTATTTTTTTTTAAAAAAAAGTAATGCTTTATTTATTATTGAATTAAAGATTTTTTAAATATTATCACTATCAATTTGCAAAATTAGAACTTTAAATTATACAGGCAGTTGTCTTAAATTTGATAAAGTTTTAAATTTCATAAAAATTAGATCAGAAATTAAGATTCAAAATTTAGTAATTAAATTATTTATTATATAATTTTTATATTAATTTTAATCAAATTTTATATAGTAAA